AGTCTCCTCCTCAGCTCACCATGAACGACTTCAGCGTCCACCGAATCATCGGCCGCGGCGGCTTCGGGGAGGTCTACGGCTGCCGGAAAGCGGACACGGGCAAAATGTAACGGGAACGCTCCGGCACGGGGGGCCACCCGGGCTTTTGGGGTGCTGGGGGGCCCAGTGGCGTCGCTGCGGTGACACGTGTCGGGGGGCTGCGGGGATATCGTCACGGCTGCAAGCTCCCAGGGCTGGCAGGGACGTCACGGCTGTGGGCGGGAGCTGGGTGCTGGCCCTGCTGTGGGGACACGGTGGCTGCAGGGACTCCGTGTCACCCCCAGGTACGCCATGAAGTGCTTGGACAAGAAACGCATCAAGATGAAGCAGGGCGAGACGCTGGCCCTCAATGAGCGCATCATGTTGTCCCTCGTCAGCACTGGGGTGAGGGGACACGGGTGCTGGGCTGGGGACGGGCTGGCAGGGGACAGGGACGGGGAGGGTGACCCCGCGTCTCCCACCAGGACTGCCCGTTCATCGTGTGCATGTCCTACGCCTTCCACACGCCCGACAAGCTCAGCTTCATCCTCGACCTCATGAACGGTGAGACCCCGGCCCTGAGCCACTCCCGGGGCACAGAGCCCCCTGCCACGCCTGCTCCGGGTGACGGCCGCTCCCTGTCCCCACAGGGGGGGACCTGCACTATCACCTGTCCCAGCACGGCGTCTTCTCAGAGGCGGAGATGAGGTTCTACGCGGCCGAGATCATCCTGGGCCTGGAGCACATGCACAGCCGCTTCGTGGTGTACCGTGACCTCAAGGTGACCGTCCCCACCCGCAGGACAGCCCCAGGCCCTTAGAACCCCTCCGCTGCCCTGTGGGCCCCCCGGGTGTCACAGACCCTGCGGGGTCCCTCGGAACGCTGTGGGCACTCGCCGAGCCCGGGGGGCACCCTCAAGTCTAATGGACACCCCAGCAGCAAAGTCCGTGGGCGCCCTGAGACTTCGGGGGCACTCAGGCACCCCCAAATCCCACAGAGCCCCCCAGGCTCACCACCCCGTACCCCTGGGCCGCTCTGGGGCTCAGGGTGTCCCCCGGTGTCTCCGCAGCCGGCAAACATCCTCCTGGACGAGTTCGGCCACGTCCGCATCTCCGACCTGGGCCTGGCCTGCGACTTCTCCAAGAAGAAGCCCCACGCCAGCGTGTGAGTGTGCCCACGCCCCTGCCCGCCCTGACCCCTGCCCGGGGCGGCCCCTGACCCCCCTGTGCCCCCTCCCCAGGGGCACCCACGGGTACATGGCGCCGGAGGTGCTGCAGAAGGGGGTGGCCTACGACAGCAGCGCCGACTGGTTCTCGCTGGGCTGCATGCTCTTCAAGCTGCTCCGGGGGTGAGTGTGGGCTCAGCTGGGCACAGCTGGACACAGCTGGGCACAGCTGGGCACTGCTGAGCCCCCTCTCCCTCCACGCCACAGGCACAGCCCGTTCCGGCAGCACAAGACGAAGGACAAGCACGAGATTGACCGGATGACCCTCACCATGGTGGGTGGGGGCACTGAGGGGGCTGTGGGCAGGACGCGGGCACCCCTGGCCTGGGAGGCTCACAGGGGGTCAGCTGGTCTTTGCCTGGGGCACGTGTGTGTGCCCAGCTGTGTGTCAGTGTGTGTCCCTGTCCCCGCTCAGCAGTGATCTCATGGAATCTCCCACAGGCCGTGGAGCTGCCGGACTCCTTCTCCCCGGAGCTGCGCTCCCTGCTCGAGGGGCTGCTGCAGCGGGATGTCAACCGGCGCCTGGGCTGCATGGGGCGAGGGTGAGCGTCCCCGAGGCCCCCAGGGGATGGGACAAGGTGTGCTGGCACAGTCCCCCTGAGGCCACACTCACCCGCCCTCCTCCTTCCACAGGGCGCAGGAGGTGAAGGAAGAGCCCTTCTTCAAGGGCCTGGACTGGCAGATGGTGTTCCTGCAGAAGGTGAGGGGTGTCTGCCCACGGCTGGGGACAGGGACAAGGACACAGACGCGGGCAGCCACCCCCCTGACCCCCCCTGCTGCCCACAGTACCCGCCACCCCTCGTCCCGCCCCGCGGCGAGGTGAACGCGGCCGACGCCTTCGACATCGGCTCCTTTGACGAGGAGGACACCAAGGGCATCAAGGTACCGCGCACAGGGGCCGGGCGTGGGGGCGTGGGGTGGCCCACCGCCCCTCACCCCCGCATCCCACCCTGCCCAGCTGCTGGAGAGCGACCAGGAGCTGTACCGCAACTTCCCGCTCACCATCTCGGAGCGCTGGCAGCAGGAGGTCACCGAGACCGTCTTCGACGCCGTCAACGCTGACACCGACAAGCTGGAGGCTCGCAAGAAGGCCAAGAACAAGCAGCTGGGCCACGAGGAGGGTGAGTGGGGCCGGGGACCCCCACCCTGAACCGCCCCTGGCCGCATCCCGGCTGCTGATCCCGGCTCCCTGTGGTCCCAGAGTACGCCATGGGCAAGGACTGCATCATGCACGGCTACATGGCCAAGCTGGGCAACCCCTTCCTGACGCAGTGGCAGCGCCGCTACTTCTACCTCTTCCCCAACCGCCTGGAGTGGCGCGGGGAGGGCGAGTCGCCGGTAAGGGGGGCACGGCACCGGGGGGTGAGGGCCGCCTGGGGGACCCCGGCGAGGGCACGGGGACCGGGCTGAGCCTGTCCCCCCAGCAGTCCCTGCTCACCATGGAGGAGATCGACTCGGTGGAGGAGACGCAGGTGAAGGAGCGCAAGTGCATCCTGCTGCGCATCCGCGGGGGCAAGCAGTTCGTGCTGCAGTGCGACGTGAGTGTCCCCCCCGCCCCCCCGGCTGCTGGCCACCTCCTGCTGCCTGCTAGCCGTCCCCCCTGCTGGCTACTAGCCGCCTCTTGCTGGCCACTTGCATGTTTAGTCCTTCAAGCCATGCCAGGGCAGCAATACTGAAAACGTGGGGCAACCCCACAGCCCTGGCACCCTGGGGTGGCTCAGCCACCCTGTGCCCTGCCCTGTCCCCACCGCTGACCCAGCTGCCCGCCCCGCAGAGCGACCCCGAGCTGGTGCAGTGGCGGAAGGAGCTGCGGGACGCGCAGCGCCAGGCGCAGCAGCTGCTGCAGCGGGTGCCCCGCATGCAGAACAAGCCGCGCTCGCCCGTGGTGGAGCTCAGCAAAGTGCCCTTCATCCAGCGCTCCCCCAACGGGCTCTGACCCCTCCCCGAACCCCCTTCCCCCTTCCCACCCCACCTCTAATTTATTGGGTTGGGTTCCCGCGTGTCCCCCCCCGTCTCTGTGTGCCCGGGGGCTGGGGGGGACGCGCCCGGTGCCGCTGTCACCCGGGGGCGCGGCTGCGGTGACGCCAACGCCGGGCACGCGGCCTGGCACCTTCTCCCCGGTGTGCCTCCCGGTCCTGCAGGAACTCTCCGGCTCAGATGAAGGCAGCCCCCGTCCCTCCCGCCCGCTCCCCAGTGCCGTGTGTGCCAGAGGGGCCCGCGGGGTCCCCAGCCGGCATGTCCCCCCTCCCCGCGTGGCTGTGCCCGTCCCGTGGGTGACACCCCCTCGTGCGCGTGTGTGGCTGTGTGTGAGTGTGTGCCCAGGGGGACCCCCTGTAAATACTGTGCCACGGGTCCCCTGCGCCCCCCGCTCTGCCACTGCCCCTCCTGCCCCTGCCCAGGGCACCCCCAGCCCCCTGCCCTCCCTCCTGAGGAGAAAGGAGCAGGTGGGACCCCCTTCAATCAGCCACGGGTGGGCACAGGGGTGCCCCCTGCCCCCCAGTCCCCGGCAGCATCTGTAAATATTAGTCTCTGGTCGCTCTGCTCCCGGGGCTGGGGGGGCACCGGGCAGGGGGGGCGCGGGGCAGGGCCGGGGCAGTGGGTGAGTGAGGTTTTCTTGAGCAGAGATGTGAGAATGCCAGAAAAAAAGAGTTTTTATAATAAAAAGATGGAAAAACACCATCTGGCTCCACCTCATTCTGGGGGGGAGAGATGGCTCCACACCCGCTGAGGGTGGCGTGGAGTCCTTGTCACCTCCTGTGGTGTGGGAGATTCCTGTGTGTCCCCCTATGGACCCACCAGCACTTTGGGGACATGCCGGAGCATCCCCAAGCCCCACAGGATGGGGCTCCCGAGCCAGCGTGGGCTGCTGGGGGTTGTGTCCCCCGTCTCTGCTCTGTCCCTAGGGATGATCTGGGCTGTCGCTTGTCACCAGGCAGCGCAGGTGCCACCTCTCCTGCCCACACCCTGCCTGCGGGCAGCACGTCAGGGCGCGGGGCGGCTGGGCTGGTGCTCCGGCATTCCTGGGGAGCGGCAGGGCCGGGACGGGACGGGACGGGACGGGACGGGACGGGACGGGATGGGATGGGATGGGATGGGATGGGATGGGATGAACCCAGGACTGGATGCACGACGGTCCTGAGCACCAGGTCCCCACGGATGTCAGGATGTAAAAGGGGCCAGGGAGCCCCGGGGTGTCCTGCGCCTCAAGGTGTCCAGCAGGAGATGCCGGGCACCGGCAGCCCCCGGTACGGGGGTCAGCTGGGGGCCAGTGGGTCCCTGTTTCAACCCCGACGGGAGAGTGTGAGAGGGAGCGGCCCCAGGCTGTGTCCGGTGCCGGTTTCAGTGGCATTCCCGGTGCTGCTGCAGTGGCGCTGCCCGCAGTCACGGTTCCCGGTGCTGGTGCCGTTCCCAGTGCCTGCTCCCATTCCCGATGCCGATAACGTTTCCGGTGCCGCACTCCCGACACCTCGCTCCCTTTCCTGCTGCCCGTTCCCGTGCCCAGTGCCAACGCCATTCCCGCGCCCGGTCCCTGTTTCCTCCCGGAGCCCCGCTCCCTTTAGCCGTGCCCGGTGCCAAGGCCCCTTCCCTTTGGCGGTGCCCGTTCCCGGCGGCGGCGCCGTCCCCTTTTCCCGCTCCCACCCGCCGGTGCCGGTGCCGGTGCCGGTGCCGGTGCCGGTGCCGGTGCCGCCGCCTGTTGCCGGTGCCCGGTGCGGCCCCGCCCCGCGCCGCCGCGCTGCGCCGCCGCCGCCCCCGCGCAGCCATTGCGGGCAGGCCCCGCGCTGCGGCCCGCTCCGTCCGCCCCGGCGGCCCCGGGGACATGGTGCCGGGATGGCCCGGCCCGCCGAGACCTTCCCGCTGCACCGGCTCGTCTGGCACAACCGGCACCAGGCGCTGGACAGCGCCCTGCGCGCGGGGACGGTGGGAACGGCGCCGGGAGCGGCACCGGGAGCGGCGCCGGGGAGCGGGCACCCCCCCACGCACCGGCACCGGGAACGGGAGCGGCGGGAGGGCAGGCGATGGCAGGGAGAACGGCGGGGCCCGCAGCGCGGGGGTGGGGGGACTGGGAGCGCTGGGAATGCTGGGGGGGACTGGGAGCCCTGGGGAAAACCGGGAAGGCTCTGCGCGAGGGGGGGGAGGGGGGATGCTGGGAGGGCTGGAAGGACCGGGAGCACGGCTGGGACCGGGAGCACTGGGAGATACTGGGAGCACTGCGGGGACGGGGAGCCTTGAGGGACTGGGAGCACTGGAGGGAGACTGGGAGCGTCAGGGAAGGCTGGGGACACAGCACTGGGGAGAAGACTGGGAGCGCTGCAGAGGGACTGGGAGCACTGGGGGAGACGGGGCACAGGGGATGGGACAGCTGGGAGCGCTGGGGAAACTGGGGGCACAGGGGACTGGGGCAACTGGGAGCATGGGGAGCTGGTGGCACTGGGTGGGGGGGACAGCACTGGGAGCATCTGAGGGAACTGGGAGTCCTGGAGGAAGACTGGGAGTGGTGTGGGACTGGGAGTACCGGGGAGACTGGGACTCAGGGGACTGGGAGCACTGGAAGAACTGGTGGCACTGGAAGGACTGGTGACACTGGGATAATAAGGGCCTGGTGACAATGGGATAATAAGGGCCTGGTGACACTGGGATAATAAGGGTAGCACCAAAGGCCTGGAAGCAACTGGGAGCGCTGGGATGGGGTTGGCTGCATTGGGAGAAGGGGGGCTGGGAGCACCAGGCCTTGTGAGCATGGGGGACGCAGGGGGAGCAGCGGGGTGGCACGGGGAGGGGACAGTGACCCCAGGCCCTTCCAGCACGACGTGGAGCTGACAGACCCGCGTGGCCGGACGCCCCTGGAGCTGGCCGTGTCCCTGGGCCACCTGGAGTCGGTGCGGGTGCTGCTGCGGCACAACGCCAACGTGGGCCGGGAGAATGCCAATGGATGGACGGGTACAGGGACACCACGGGCACCTGGGGACACCATCCCGGGGTGCGGGTGGCCTCCAGCTGATGGCACCCCGTGTCCCCAGTGCTGCAGGAGGCGGTGAGCACGGGGGACCCCGAGATGGTGCAGCTGGTGCTCCAGTACCGTGACTACCAGCGGGCGACGCGGCGCCTCGCCGGCATCCCCGAGCTGCTCAGCAAACTGCGGCGGGTACAGCCCCCCAGAACTGCACCCTGCGCCCCAGAGCCCCCCAGGGACACCCACCAGCCCCATCCCTTTGCTCAAGACTCCGCACCTCTCCAGTGACTCCAGCAGAGACCCCCCCCAAGTCTCCCCCTGTCTCCTCCATGACCCCACTCTTTCCCCAGGGACACCCTGCCTATCCAACCCCACTTCCCCAGATTGCCCTGATCCCCACCCAGAACCCCAACAGCGATCCCCACCCCTGCTCTCCAGACTTCCCATGTCCTCAGTGGTCTGAGAAGGGACCCCAAATTCTCCCCAGAAGCCCCCATTGACTCCGTTATTTCCCTGGCGACCCCCTGCTTATCCTTTTCCTCTGGGACTCGCTGCTTATCCATCCCTGTGGACCTGCACTAGTTGCCCCACTCTCTCTGATCCCCACCCAGGACCCCAATAGGGACCCCCATCCCTTCTTCCCACACTCCTCCCCCCTCCCCAGTGACCCCAGCAGGGAGTCCCCAGCCCCTCCACATGCCCCACCATTCTCCTCATCCCTTCCAGGCATCCGACTTCTACGTGGAGATGAAGTGGGAGTTCACAAGCTGGGGTGAGCGTGGCCGGGCTGGGCAGGGGAAGGGGGTCCCCAGGGGCCCCCCCGGCCTCGGGGCTGAGGGGTCCCTGTGCCCGCAGTGCCCCTGGTGTCCAAGGTGTGTCCCAGCGACGTGTACCGCGTGTGGAAGCGCGGCGAGAGCCTGCGGGTGGACACCACCCTGCTGGGCTTCGAGCACATGACGTGGCAGCGCGGCCGCCGCAGCTACATCTTCAAGGGGGAAGGTCAGCTCCAGCCCCCCGCGGCCCCTCTGTCACTCTGGGGAGCCCCCAGGCCCCCTGAACCATAAGTGCTCCCCTGTGAGGACCTGTCTGGATTCCCTGGGAGCCCTTCAGGCTTTGTGGGGAGCCACAGACCACCTGCACTATAAGTGCACCCCTATAAAGACCCCGGATTCCCTACAGGGACTTCCCTGGAGATCCCCCAGACCCTCTGCACTATAAATACTCCTGTAAGGACCTCCCAGATCCCCTCTAGGGAGCACGTGGGATTCCAGTTCCCCCCTCCCAAAGGGAGCACCTCAATTCTTTTACATGTACCAGGGATCCCCAATTCCCCAGATGTCCCAAAGGAAATCTTAGTTCTCCCTGAGGGAACCACCTCAGCTCCTGCATATACAAGAGACCCCCAATCCCCCCAGCCCCCCAGTGCCCCCCAAGCCTGCGGTTGTCACTGGGGGTGGGTGCTGACCCCTGCGGTGTCCCCACGCAGACGAGGGGGCCGTGGTGATGGAGGTGGACCACGACAAGCAGGTGGTGTACACGGAGACGCTGGCGCTGGCCCTGCACGAGCCCGAGCTGCTGCTGGCGGCCATGCAGCCCACCGAGGAGCACGTGGCCGGCCGGCTCACCTCGCCCATCGTCTCCACACACCTGGACACCCGGAACATCGCCTTCGAGAGGTGGGAGGGGAAGGGGAGCTCTCAGCGGGCAGGGGCCGCGCGAGGGGGAAGCGCGGGCGAAGGGGAAGGAAGCGCTGGTGCAAGAGGGTGAGGCCTCCCCGCTCCCCCAGGAACAAGTCTGGGATCTGGGGCTGGCGCTCGGAGAAGATGGAGGTGGTCAGTGGCTACGAGGCCAAGGTGAGCACGGAGACGGGGGGGACACGGAGGACAGCCTGGAGTGTGGCAGGCCTGACGGTGTCCCCACACAGGTGTACAGTGCCAGCAACGTGGAGCTGGTCACCAAGACCAGGACGGAGCATCTCTCCGACCAGGACAAGTCACGCAGCAAAGGTGACAGCCCTGTCAGCCAATCAGGGGGCCTGTACATGGTGGGGACACGCTGCCCTTCCTGGGTGGCACAGGTGTCAGGTGTGGGACACGTGACACTCTGGGTGTGGGGTGTGACATGTCAGGTGTGGGAAACTGTGGGAATAATGTGACAGGCATGGGACAGCGTGCAGTGTGCCACCATGAGGGGTGTGACCGCTGACAGCCCTGGGAGTCCCTCCCACTGCCCACACCTCACCCTGCACCCCCCTGTGCCCCCAGGCTCCAAGACCCCCTTCCACTCCTTCCTGGGCATCGCGCAGCAGCACGGCACCCACAACGGGGTGAGTGGCCATCCCAGGGGTCCCTGGGGAAACTGGGGGTCTCCAGGGGGGCTGAGTGGTGCTGCTGTCCCCCCAGGCACCCGTCCTGCAGGCTGCCAGCCCCACCAACCCCACGGCCATCACCCCCGAGGAGTACTTCGACCCCCACTTTGACCTGGAGACCCGCAACATCGGGCGCCCCATCGAGATGTCCAGCAAGGTGCAGAGGTGAGGCCACCGCCCCAGGGTCAGGACATACGGGACGGTGACAGAGTCCTCGGGATGTGGATGCACAGGGTGGTGACAGAGTCCTCGGGGCCGTGCCACTGCTGTCCGTACCTCGGGGGTGTGGCCAGGGCGGTGGCACTGGGGTGGTGCCGGTGGCCAGCGGCCCCGGCGCGGCCCCGTGCCCACGGTGGTGCCCGGGCAGGTTCAAGGCGACGCTGTGGCTGTGCGAGCAGCACCCGCTGTCGCTGGCGGAGCAGGTGACGCCCATCATCGACCTCATGGCCATCTCCAATGCCCACTTCGCCAAACTGCGCGACTTCATCACCCTCAAGCTGCCCCCTGGCTTCCCCGTCAAGATCGGTGAGAGGGAAAGCTCAGTTTGGGGCGGGATTAAGAGGGCCAGGAGCTCACTGGCGCTTCAATTGATGTCTGTACCCGCAGAGATCCCCCTGTTCCACGTGCTCAACGCCCGCATCACCTTCAGCAACCTGTGCGGGTGTGACCAGCCCCTGGGCTCCGTGCGGATCTGCGCCCCCCAGGAGCCCCCCGGCGCCCACCCCGCTGGCACCCAGCCCTCTGGGCCCAGAGGTGAGGCTGGGGGGCCGGGGGGGCCTGTGGCCGGGAGGTGCTGGGGTTCCACGGGTGCAGAACGGCGTGGGTGTGGGGTGATGTGGGGTGTCACGGGATGCCACGGGGAGCCGCGAGCGCAATGTGGCACGCCGTGGGACGCTGTGGGGTGCCACGGGGACACCCGAGGGCGGCGCTGACGGCTCCCCGTGCGCGGCAGCGTGGCCGTTCCCGTGCGAGGTGGAGGCGGGCGTGTTCGAGGTGCCGGCGGGGTACACGGTGCTGGGCGCGGGGCGCAGCGAGCCCCTGCGGGACGAGGACGACGACCTGCTGCAGTTCGCCATCCAGCAGAGCCTGCTGGACGCCGGCACCGAGACCGACCAGGTGAGGCCACACCCCCTTGCCTGGACACGCCCCCCATGCACCTGGACACGCCCCTAACGTGTGGCCACACCCCGCAGGTGACAATCTGGGAGGCGCTGACCAACACCCGCCCCGGCGCGGAGCCGCCGCCCTACGATGAGGACCTGCAGCTGGAAAGGTGAGGTTCCATCCGTGGGGGCGTGGCCTGGGGTGCCACACCCACCTCACCTGGGCGGGGCCACACTGGGAGGGGCAGGGGTTAAAGGTGTGGGGGTGGGGCAGGGTTAAAGGTGTCGGGGTGTGGCCAGGGGAGGGGCTGAAAGGGAGGAGCTTCTTGCTGCCCAAAGGGTGTGGCCATAATGGGCGTGGCTAACCGCAGGTGTGGGTGTGGCTAGCAGCTGGGCGGGGCATGTGGGGAGGGGCATGGCTCTCCAGGCCATTTGAGGGCTGTGAAAGGGGTGTGCCCTCCAGGGGTGGGGCACAGGTGTGCCAGAGGGGGTGTGGCTCCCATGACACGGGTGTGGCTCCCATGACCGCTGTCCCCTCCCCAGGGCGCTGCAGGAGAGCATGCTGCTGCAGGCCGGGCCCAGCGCCGAGCCCCCCGCCCCCGGGAGCCCCCCCGGAGCAGGCGGCGGGAGCCCCCCGGGCCCCCCCGGGTACGGCAGCTTCGCGGAGCAGCTGCGCCTGGCCATGGCGCTGTCGGAGCGGGAGCAGGAGGAGCGGGAGCGGCGGCGGCGTGAGGAGGACGAGGAGCTCCAGCGCATCCTGCGCCTCTCCCTCACCGAGAAGTAGCGCCCCGGGGCGCTCCACGCCAGCACGGGGACGTCCCACGCAGGGACAGGGGTGTCCCATGTGGGGTCACCCCACGCACGGACGCAGACGTCCCACGTGGGGACACCCCTTGCAGGGATAGGGACACCCCAGCCAGGGGACACCCCGGTGCGGGCGCTGTCCCACACCGGGATGCCCCAGCGCGGGCACAGCCCTGCCTGGGGAGCAGCCGGTGCCGGGATGGCCCCCCCGTGATGGGGACCCCCCTGATGTGGGTACAGCCCCCCACAGGGATTTGATCCAGGGATCCTCCTAGCCCCGGGACCCCCAATCCAGGGCTCTTCTCCCACCAGGCTCAAACCTCATCCCAGGGACTCTCACCTGGGGACCGCCCCTCCAGGGATAGCCCTGTGCCCAGGACCCCCCCCTAGGGAACCCCCTCCTCTTTGGTGTTGTACTGTGACCCCATGAGGGCAGGACGGGCCCGGGGGTCCCCGTGGGGTGCAGGTGACCCCTGTTTTAAGGCACTGCAGTGTGGGGGGCTGTCGCTGCAGGACACGAAACAACACGACGCGGACACGCTGCTGCTCTCAAGGTAGAAAAGGGAAGTTTATTTTCTGACTCCAACATTTATAGATTTCCAAAGGTGACAGTGGATTGGAGGGTGAAAGTGCCACCTTTCCAATGACGCTGGACAAACCAACAGTCCATCAAATTTCTCCTCCTCCATAAAAGAACGGAAAATAATAAGTTGTTTACATAAAGTGTGAGAGAAAATTGCTACAAGAATGTAAACATCAGAAGACTTAGAAAATCTTAAAAAATCTGGGCGACAGGGGGGACTGCTGGGGGACCACCAGGCCTCGTCCTTTGGGGCATTGGGGAGGCAGGGGGGCCCCGAATGTCTGTACATATACATATACATATATTATGTATATATATATATATATACACACACGTGTGTCTGTGCCTGGGGCGGGATGAGTGGGGTGTCCCAGAGGTGGAGCCTGGGAAAAGGGATGGATCCTGCAGGTAGGGTGGGGCTCAGGTGATGGGGCTCATCCAGTAAGCGTGTGGGTGGCACTGGAGGGCTGCTCCTCCTCAGCTCGCCCCAAATCTGGCCCTGTGCCCCCATTCCTTACCCAGGGATTGGTTTATTGTCTTTATATTACGTGGGAAAAGACCCCTGCCCATGGGGTCACAAGGGGTTCTTTGGGGGTGAGCTGTGGGGGACACTTGGGGCATTCCCAGGGGCTGAAACCCGGGGTGTCCCCGGTGCCAGGGTCCCTCGGGGGGTCCACAGTTTCTGGGGATCCGGGGAACGCATCACGCGTTCCGGGCGCCTGGGGGAGTCCCGAGGGCCAGGAGCCCGTGGATGGTTCCCACTTTCGGAGGCCCTGGGGGTGTCTCAAGCGCTGGAGTGTCAACCCTGCCTTGTCCCCACCGATGTGGGGCCCGGGGGGCTCCGGGGCACCGGGGCGGTGCCGCTCTGCGGGAGGGCGCTCTGGGGGTCCCGGCTGCGGCGCTCCCGTGGCGGGGGGAGCCGTGCCGTGCCGGGACGTGCCGGGGCCGTGCCCGCTCCCGCTCCCGTTCCCGTTCCCGTCCGGGCGGGGCAGCGGCGGCGCTTCCTGGTGCGGGGGGGCGGCGCGGCGGGGCATGGCGCTGGTGACGGTGCGGCGGGCGGGGGGCTCCGCCGGGGGCCCCGCGGTGAGTGCGGCACCGGGGCGGGCGGGGACGGGGCATCCCGGCAGGGACGGCACGGGGGACGGGAGGGGGGTCCCGGAGCCCCGGCAGGTCCCGGTGCGGCGGCTCTCGGGGGAGTCCGGGCTATCCCGAGCCGCGGGGGCCCCGGTGCGGGGGCACGGGGTGGGCCCCGGATCTCCTGCGGGTCCCGGTGCCCTGGGGAAATGGGCCGCCCCGGGGATCCCGGTGTGGGGAGCGTGGGCTGCGCGGGGGTCTCCCGGTGCCCCGGGGGTTGCCGTGCTCCGGAAGGTCCCGGTGCGGAAGGTGCCGCCGTGCCGGGAGTGCCAGCGCGGGGGCCGAGGGGTGAAGGTTGCTCCGGTCGCTGCCGGTGCGGGGTCATCCCAGGCGCTTCCGATGGGACTTTCCTGGGAGTTTCCTGGGAGCGGAGTTGCCCTCAGCACGCGTTGGAGTTTCCTGTACTCCCGGCTGGGGTTTCCCCATAGCTAAGGGAGGACTATGGGGGTGTGGATGGGGGTGTTTGTCCCAGGCTGCTCCCACTCACTTTGCCACCTCTCCCAGTCCCTCCGCGGTCCCCGTGTCCCCTAGTGCCTCCCCCAGTGACCACTGGGCCTTCCTGGGTGTTCATCCCAGGCCCCCCCTTCCAGTGCTCTCACCCAGCCAGGGATGGGGGCACAGGGATGAGACACCCCCCCCCGCCATCCCGAGGGGGTTCCCCAGGGATCTATCTCCACAGTGGGACCCCCAAAGGGTCCCTACACCCCCGTGAGGCCCACGCTATTGCTGGGGGTGGGGGTGGGTTTAGGGGGTCACTGGACTGTGGTGTCCCTGCTGGTGGGGGGCTTGTGGGACCCCCGAGCCTGGTCCATTCCCTGGGGTCACATTTCCCCCAGGAAGTGCCTCCCAATTTGCAGGAGGAAGATGCTCCCAGACGTGGCCAACTGCAGCGACGGTGAGAGCGGGTTCCGAAACCCCGGCGTGAGGGACACTGGGGTGGGATGGGGACACGGTTCCCACCCTTTGGGGAGCACTCTGGGGGTGCCCTGGGTGCTCAGGGCCCTCCTGCCCCCCAGGCAGAGCTTCGTCATGGTCAAGGGGGCTGCACGGCTCCTGCCTGCCGAGGAGCCCCCCCCGGCCGAGCCCCCCCCGGCCGAGCCCCCCTGCCAGGCCCCGGGACAGCAGGAGCAGCACCTGCACCTCATGATGCAGCTGCTGCGCCCCCAGGACGCCATTCGGCTGGTAGGACATGGATCCACCCCTCCAGGAGCACTGGGATGGGGACAGGGAAAGAGATGGATAGGGTCAGGAGCGGGGACAGGATGGGGATGGGTTATGGATGGGGACAAGACGGGGAGAGGAAATGGACAGGATGAGACAGGATGGGCTGGGCTGGGGATGGGGATGAGATGGAATGAAGGTGGGGACAGTAACATCGAGGAAAGGTATGGGAATGCGATAAGGATGGGGACTGGATGGGATGGGATGGGGATAGGGATGGAATGGGAGGTGATGAGGAAGGGATGTGGCCCAGCCTGCTGCCGCTCCCCGGTCACCGGGAGCGTGGGGAAGGGGCAGAGCCCCGCTGCGATGCCCGCCTTTCCGGCAGGCGGTGCGGCTGGAGTCGGCGCGGCCGCGGCGGGTGCGGTACCTGCTGCTGGTGCGGCCGGAGGAGGCAGGAGCCGAGGCGGAGACGGCGCTGCTGGGAGTGGATTTCGCCCACGAGGGGTGAGCGGGGTGCGGGGGGTGCCCGGGGAGGCGTCGGCACCCCCTGACCTCTGCTCGCCCCAGGGCCACCCGCTGCACCCTGGGCATGGTGCTGCCCCTCTGGAGCGACACCCAGGTGTTCCTCGACGGCGACGGGTAAGGGTGGGACGGATTTTGGGACAGGGAGAGGCTTAGAGGGGTCGGGGTGCCCACCCCGACCCACGCGTGTCCCCCTGATGCCCAGGGGGTTCAGCGTGACGTCGGGGGGACAGACGCGCATCTTCAAGCCCATCTCTGTGCAGACCATGTGGTGAGCGAGGCCTGGGCGTGACCACGGCGGGCATGGGGACCACGCTGGGCACGGGGCTGTGGGTGGCACGGTGAGCACAAGGGGGGTGGGCACCACCTCGGGGACTGGGGACACAGACACTGCCAGGGGCACAGGGGATCTCAGCCGCACAGCAGACACGGGGGATGCGGCACTGCTGGGGACACAAGGGGTGCTGTCACCATCCTGGGCACAGGGGTGTGGGCACAGGGTATCACCACGGGCACAGTCACGGCGAAGGATCTGGGGAGGGTTTGGGTGGCACCCACACGCCGGGGGCAGCCAGGGAGGGGGACGCAGCCGTCGGGAGGGCGGTGGCAGCGCAGGGGTGGCAGGTGCTGTGCGGCAGGGCCGTGCTGCAGGAGCTGCACCGCGCCTGCGAGGACGCGGCCCGCGGCGGGCACATCCCCGGCGGCCCCGCGCTGGCCTGGGCCCGCGGCTACGCGGCGGCGCTGGGCTCGGAGCAGAGCTGCCTCAATGAGTGGCTGGCCATGGCCGACCTCGAGTCCGTGCGCCCCGCCTCGCCCACCACGCCCCTCCGGTAAGGTCCCCGCCACGCCCCTGCCACACCCCGCAGCCTGCTGGCCAATCGCTGCCGCGCCTGGCCGGGCGTGGCCGGGGTGGGGCAGGGGACGCCAGTGACGGGGCGGTGCCGGTGCCAGGCCGGCCGTGCCGGAGCTGTCGGAGCAGGCGGTGCGGGCGCTGCTGCGGGAGGTGATGGCCACCGCCGACCTGGAGAACGTCACGTCCAAGGAGGTGGGTGGCACCCGGGCGGCAGGGAGTCCTGGGGACGGGATGGGCTGGGCAGGGCCGTCCCTCACCCGGCGTGGCGCCCAGGTGCGGGAGGAGCTGGAGCGGCGCACGGGGCACAGCCTGGCCGAGCACAAGGATTTCATTGACAACGAGATGCTGCTGGTGCTGGCGCAGATGGATCGGCCTTCCCGTGTCTTCCCGCACCTCTTCCTGGTGGGCAGCGGCGCGGGCACGCTGGGCAGGGCGGGTGGCAGTGTCCCCTCCCCTCACCGCTGTCACCACCACGCAGGGCTCCGAGTGGAACGCAGCCAACCTGGAGGAGCTGCAGCAGAATAGGTGAGCACGGGGTGGCACCGTGGTGGGGCGGCATGGGGTCACCACGGGCCGCCCCTGGGGTGTCACTCGTGTCACCGCAGGGTCACCCACATCCTGAATGTGGCGCGGGAGATCGACAACTTCTTCCCGGCGCTGTTCACGTACATGAACGTGCGGGTGTACGACGAGGAGGCGGCCGAGCTCCTGCCCCACTGGAACGACACTTTCCTCTTCCTATCCCGCGTCCGGTCAGTGGGCACGGGGGTGACACCACGGGGGACACCGGGGCACAGGGGCTGCAGGTGGGGCAGGGTAGAGGGGGACATGGGGAGAGGTCTTGATGGCTGAGGTGCTGGGGCATGGGATCCTGGGGAGCAGTGGGGTGGGTGGGGATGTGGGGAGCTCTGGGGACACTGGGATGGCTGCAGGATGCTGGGAGCCCTGGGGACATGTCCCCGAGGGCCGCCGTGCCATGGTGCCAGCAGTGGGTGCCGCAGGGCGGCGGGAGGCCGGGCGCTGGTGCACTGCCGGATGGGGCTGAGCCGCTCGGCCGCCACGGTGCTGGCCTACGCCATGAAGGAGTTCGGGTGGCCCTTGGAGCGGGCGCTGCGGCACGTCCGGCACTGCCGGCCCGGCGTCCTGCCCAACCCCGGCTTCATGCGCCAGCTCGACTTCTACCAGGGCATCCTGAGCGCCAGGTGGGTGGGGACAGGGTGGGGACAGGTGGGCGGGGCCTGGAATAACCACACCCCCGTGGGGTAAGAGGGTGGGGCCTGTTGTGACCGCACCCCTTTGGGTGGGTGGGCGGGGCTTCAGTGGCCGTGCCCTTCATGGAAAGGTGTGGAAATTCTGTGGGGGAGGAGCCCATGGGAACCCCACCCTGCGCAGTGGGCGTGGCTCCCAGCAGGGGGCGTGGCCGGGTGCTGATTGACAGGTCTGTGGCAGCCGGCACAGCAGCCTGTGGGAGCCCCGGGCGGCCGAGCAGGCGCCGCAGCCCGAGGAGGACACCGCGAGGGACACGAGTGGCCTGTCCCCGCTGTCCTCCCCGCTGGCGTCCCCGCAGCCCTCCGAGGAGGAGGCAGCTGGTGCGGGGCTGCTGGGGGCCTCCCGGCGCCCCCGCATCTCCCTGTGCTCTGTCATGCGGAGCATCAGCCTGCTGGAGACCCCCGAGCCCCTCGAGGTGCTGGGGGAGCCCCTGGCCGGGGAGGTGAGCAGGGCTCAGGGCGGGACGGGGGTCCAGCTGTGGGGTGGCAGCGGCATGCGATGACCCCGCGGTCCCCCCTCAGGTGTTTGAGGCCACGGAGAAAGCAGAGGGTCCCTCCCCGAGGTCACGACCCTCGTCCCGCCCGCGCGGGGTGGTGCGCCAGGCCAGCCTGGATGGTGGCCCCGCCCCTTTTTGTGACCACGCCCACAGTGATTGCCACACCCAGGGCCACACCCATGCACCTGGCCAGGGCCACACGGGTGAACCCACGCCTTAATTTGGGGGGCAAGGGACAGCGGCTCTTCACTGCCATAGCAACAATTGGAGGGGCGTGGTCTAGGCATGGGGGCGTGGCTAGCGAGCCGGCACGCCCCGCCCACGCCCCGCCCGCACCCTGGGGCTGGGACGTGCCTCTGCCCCAGCCCCACGAGCACAAACACCGACACCGCTCCTGCACTGGCAATAAAGCGTGGAAATGGCAGCCCCTGGTGGCTTTGTGACCCTGAGCATCTGGAGGGTGGGCTGCTGCCAGTAGGGACCGGAGTGAACGCTCTGGGGACACCGAGCGGGCACAGGGACCCGGCGGCGCCATTTTGTGCGGCACGGGGAAACTACAACTCCCGGCGGCCTTTGCGCGATAAGAACAACATCGGGGTTGCCATGGCAACCGTCGCGGCCTAGACCTGGGCTGGAATCCGGGCTGGAATTGGTGCTGGAAACGGGACCGTGGCAGTCCCGAGGCCCAGCAGCGGAGGACTGAAGCACACAGAGAGCCTCTGTGGCCATGGTGGAGGGGAAAGCCAGGTGCTCCCTTGTGAGATGGTGTCAACCCCCTCCCACCATGGGCCCTTCATGTTGTGTCACCCCTGACCCGCAGGACACCTTCCACTAGCCCAGGTTGCTCCAGCTCCATCCAACCACGCCTTGGACACTGTCAGGGATGGGGCAGCCACAGCTTCTCTGTGCCATGGCCTCACCACCCTCACAGGGAGGAATTTCTTCCCAAAATCCCACCTAAACCCACCCTCCAAAGGGAAGGCAGTTCCTGGCTGGAAACTGCCCCTGAGGCTGCTGCTGTCCATCTCCTAGGGCTGTTCCTGTGCCTGGAGCCATCCCAGACACTTCCCCTTTCCTGGGATACCCACCAGGCTGGGACTGACCCTCTGCTAAGGAAGGAGCATGGGAATCTCCCTCCTTCTTCCCACCAGGAGGGCACAGCCCTGGATTGGCTGGGTGTAGGATGTATTTTTTGGGGGTCCACCTAAACACCTCCATCCTGTGGTCCGTCTCCAGCCCAGCAGAAGAATTATGTCCCCGTAGAAGATATCCAAGGGACTGCAGCTGCAACAGCAGGACCAGATCCAGCTGGATAATACGATCCAGAGGGTCGGGAGCCTGCAGTGCAAGCGGCATGGGAGTTGTGGGTGGCCTCCCACCCATCCCATCCCATCCCACCTTATCCCTTGCTGGCTCCAATGCTCCATAGCAGCCAGAACTCTACCTCCACACTAATTCATGAGTAGTAACCAGTACTCTGTGAGGGTGGCTAGAAAAATTTTAAAAGACTAATTAGCAGCATAAAAAAAAAAAACAATTTAGACTGCTAAAAATTAAAAGGCATCACTGCAAAGATAAAAAAACTATCTCTAAATATCCACCATATAAATATCCATATCCCCAAAATTAAAGCTAATAAAAAGCACCAAAACAATCAAATAACTAAATATATTCTGGTGGGTGCAGTAGCATTTAATCAACGCTAGACCCACCACAGATAGAAACAATTAATTTTATTGATGAAACAACAAAAAGAGCTGGTTAATTAAGTCATCGATAACCTGAATAATTAACACATCCTGTTATTTATGATTCTGCAGAGAGGAAGGGTGCTAATTAGGGCTACTAAACATATGCATCCCACAGGACACTGTCCCTCTTCCCACCCCACTGCAGGACATCCCCACCATCCACAGCCAGCTGCTCCCCACCCTGAGCTCACTTTTCACCTGAGTTTATACCTCATTCTTCGTTTTTTCACTCCATTCCTGAGGAAAAAATATCCCACCTCCCTTTCTCTGCCCAAGAACACGTTTTTCTGCCTGGGTCCCAGCTGGGTGGCTTTAAACTGCGTGACGGACACCCGACCTGGCTTTTCTGGGGGAATGCAACTCCCTGCCCTCCCCCTGCACCCCAAGGACTTCACCCCACCCCGGACAGCACACGGCACCCCTTCCTTCGCTCACACCAGCTTTAATCCACCCGGCGCCCCTGGAACAGGGTCTGGAGGTGTCGGGAATGCTTCCCCCACTCCCTCGGCGCGGCGGCTCACAGCTCGTACTCGTGCCACAGGCTGCGGGGACACAACGGGGTCAGCGGGAAGGGCGGGGGCACCGGGAGAGCATTCCCTGTGCCCCCAACCACCCTGCCACCCCATCCCATCCCATCCCACCCCATCCCATGCCATCCCATATCCCATCCCATCCCATATCCCATGCCGTCCCCACCTGTAGGTGACATCGGGGTTGTCCCGGTGCTCCAGGAGGGCCTCACGGATGGGGCCGGGGGGGCTCAGCCCCAACTCTTGTGCCCGCTCCCAGCGCTGCAGGCGGGTGATCCCTGCGGGATACCGGGGGCTCAGCGGGGCCGGCGGGAGCCCGGGGCCCCCGGGACAACCGGGACAACCGGGGGTTCTCACCGGTGCAGGGTCCGTATTCCCAGGAGAGGTCGAAGCGCCGCAACATCTCCATGAGCGCCGGGTCCGCGGGGGGCTGCGAGGGGGCGCGGGGACAGTCCCGCACCTTCAGCTGCACCTTGTCCTGGTCCTGGTCCTGGTCCTGGTCCTTGTCCCTCCTGCCCTTGAGCCTGCCCGGGGGCCGCCCCGGGCCCCGCCGCCGCCGCCGCCGCGGGAAGGAGTCGGTGATGCGCCGGGGCTGCTCCATGGCCCTGCGCGACATGGAGCTGGCACGGCCCCGCCGCTACCGGGAACCGGGCGGGCCCCGCCGCTACCGGGAACCGGCGGACGGACCCGCCCCTGCCCACGGCCGGGCGGAAGCGGCGGGGCCGGGCTGGGGAGCCGGCCATGGGCAGCTCCGGCCGCCGCCACCTTCGGCCACCGCCACCCTCGCGGTGGTCCCGGTCCCCCGCCGCCCTCGGCACCCCCCGGCTGTGCCCGGGAGCTGTCACCTTCCCGTGTTGTCCCTGCCAGAAGCCGCACTGTCACCCCGCGGCAGTTCCTGTCACCGCGAGGGCACTGTCACCTCCATCCCAGTGTTCCTTGTTCCCCTGGCACTGTCACCCGTGTCAGTGACTGTCACCCCAGGCACTGCCATCCCCCAGTTGTGCCCACTACCCTCTGGCATTGTCACGCCTGTGACTGTCCCCATCACCTCAGGCACTGTCACCCTGCCAGCCTGGACACTGTCACCCCCATCCCAGCACTCCCCACCACCCCAGACACTGTCACTCCCTTCTCTGTCCCCATCAGCCCCCCAAACCACGACTCACGCTGTGACACTGTCACCGTCTGCCCTGTCCCACTCTGTCCTGTGTGTCACTGTCTGTCCCCCCGGTGCCTGCCTGTCCCACCCCCAGCTGTGCTGACAGCGCCCTGGTTCAGGGGGCAACACTGCAGGTGCCACCAGTGCAAATTTGCCTGAGGCTTTCAGCCCTCCCTTGGGGAACTGAGAATAACCGAGGCGCGTGCCCTGGAACGGGGTGACTCCCAGGGGACCCCGCTGTGTGCCTCAGCGGTGACACGTGAGCCACCAAGCTGTGTCACCGCTGTAACGGTCACTGCTGGGGGGACACAAAACCCCACAGCAGCCATCAGAGACTCCACACCGCTGTTTAATTTGAGAGAGGGGACAGCAGGGCCTCAGGGCCCGTCCCTGTGCAGGCCGGGATTGTGCAGGATGTAGCGGCAGACCCCGGGCAGGCGCCGGTTGCCCAGCATCTCCTGCAGCTGCTGCATGGGCCGGTTCCCCAGCGCCGTGTGCCCGAAGGTGGGGAACCCGCGGGCGTGTGCCCGCTGCGCCGCCACCGTCAGTGCCACCTGCATGTGCCCCCGCCGCCGGTGCTCGGGCAGGGTGTAGCTGTGCGTGCCCGTCCCGAAGTGATCCGTCAGCACCCAGGCGACGGGCTGCCCGCTGCCGTCCTGCAGGCAGACTTGCGGGAAGCGCCCCAAAATCTCAGCCAGGAAGCGCCGGCTGCGGGCGTTCCCCCCGTAGGGCCACGTGTCGTTGAGCAGGTCCACGTGCGAGGGGCTCAGGGAGCCCACGTGCACCCCGGGGGCTGGCCTGGGCGAGGCAGGGGTCAGTGGGGGGCTCGGGGGTGTCCCCGTGTGGGGACAAGGGTGGGGGGCTCTCACCGGGGCTCTGGCATGGTGCTGGGGTCAGGGTGCCAGTAGGAGTAGTACTCGACAATGTCCAGCTCCACACCCTTCTTCCTTGCCAGGTCCTGGGACACTGTGGCCAGCCCATCCTGTAGCCCTGGGGATGAGGATGTCAGGGGGTCCTGCTCCCCCTGTACCCCATCATCCCTGTCCCCAGCCCCCCTGTATGACCCCAGTGTTCTCCTCAGTGTCCCCAGGGGCTGCCTGCAGCCCCAGCCTCTATTCCCAGCACCCAAATCCCTGCTTCCAGTATGTCCAGTACCCCAGTCCTGCTCCTGTCATCCCCAAGTCCAACCCCAGTACTCCCAGTGTCCCCAAGGACCCACAAATCCAGCTGCAATGCTTCCCAGTGCCCCCAGCATCCCCGAGTCCAACCCCAGTATCCCCCAGGACCCTGCTTCCAGGGTACCCAGCAGTGCAATTCCCTGCTGCTCCCCAGCACCCCCAAATCCCACCCCAACACTTCCCACTGGTATCACCCATCAAACCCCACACCAGCACACCAAATCAGTGTGTCATTTGGTGATCAGCACTTCCAGTGCTCCCCAACACTCAGCACCCGTTCCCAGCGTCCCCCAGCACCCCCAATTCCCTCCACCAGTTCCTCCCTGCTTCCAACAGCTCTCCCCGGTGTCCCACAGTCCCAGTGCCGCCCAGAGCATGCCCAGTCCCTCCCCAGGGCCCCCCAGGTCCCTGGTGTCCCCAGGCCACCGATGAGGGTGAAGGCAGCGTCCCAGCGCAGGCAGCCGGGTGTCTCCAGCAGCGCCCGGTACGCCCCCAGGTCCCGGTAGAACGCCGCCTGCGTGTTCCAGTATCCATCGTTCGCTGGCACCTGGGGGCACCCACGGCTGCTCTGAGCACACCTGGCACGTGCCAGGGTGCCGTGTCACCCCCCTCCTGCAGTGCCCCGTGTCCCCATTGGCCACCTCTCCACTGGGCCGGGCCAGCACGGCGCCAAATTCGGGCCACTTGTCCACCAGCACCTCAAACTGGCCAGGGTTGCCCCGGTTGATGTTCAGCACTGCCCCGAAGACCTGGGGGAAAAGGGGGTCAGCAATGAGGGACAAGGAGGGGACAGATGGGGGTCAGGAGTGGGAGCAGATATGGGGTCAGAGCTGAGGGGAGGGGGGCAGGTGTGGGGAACAGATTAGCAGAAAGGGTCCTTAATGACACGAGGGTCCCCATCACCAGCAGGGCAAAGGGCAGGGGTGGTATTGGGGTCTCCCTCACAGCAAGGGGGATATTGGGATCCCCATCACAGCAACAGATGAGTGACACTGGTGTCCCAGTCATGGGACAGTGCAGGGGTGATAGCAGGGTCCCTGCAACTGGCAGGGTAGGGGTAGCACTGGGGTCCCTATCGTGGCACAGGACAGGGGTGACAGTGGGGTCCCCATCACCGGCAGGGCGATGGGCAGGCTCTTCCTCAGGATCCCCTCCAGGTGCTGCAGATGGGCTGAGCACGTCAGGATCTTCATTGTCCTGCTGAGAGACCCTCAGTAACAGGGGGACAGGGCCACCAGGCATGGCCCCTGTCCCTGTCCTCATCCCTTTCCCCACGGTCCCCATCTCCTCCAGCACTCACCCTGCAACAGTCCTGAGTCTGTGGGTTCTGGGGGGCTGTGGACTGGGAGTCTGGAGAATGTGTGGCACTCGGTGACAATGGTTACCACCAGCTGTCACGGGCCAGTGAGTGCCCCCTGCCTTGGGGGGCAGTGGGCAGGGTCCATCCTGCTGAACACTGGGCACCAGGCCAGCCCTGTGGCCACCTGAGGACGGGTGCTCGGCTGGGACACTCTGGGACATCGCCCCAGTGCCACCAGCTCCCCACGGATCCTCGGTGTCACCACCTGCCCCACGGTCACGAAGCCATGCTGATCCTGAGGTGCCCAGCCCAGCTGCAGCTCCTGGAGGAGACCCTGCGGAAGAGCCTGCCCACCACCCTGCCGGTGACAGCCACCCTGAGGATCCCTCTGTCCCCTCTGCCCTGTCCTGCTGGTGACAGAGTCCCTGGGGACCCCTCTGTCCCTCCCTCCCTCCCTCTCTGCTGGTGGTGAGGATCTTGGGGACTCCTTTGTCCCCTCACCCTTGTCCTGTCAGTGCTGCTGGTTCCCAAGACCCCCTTGTCCCTGTCCCTGCCCCTTGTCCCCTGATGCCTCTCCCCTGCCTTGCCTGTGACCCCTCCACCTCCCCACCTGCCCTGCTGGTGACAAGGACCCCTCTGTCCCCTCTCCCCTGCCCTGCTGCAGACAGAGACCCTGGGGACTATTGCTCCCCCTCCCCTGCTGGTGAGGGGACCGGAGGGACTCTGGGCACCCCTTCGTCCCCTCTGCCCTGTCCTACAGGTGACAATGACCTTGTCGTGCAGGTCTTGGGGACTGTGATGACAGTGGCCAGGGGAAACCCGGCCTCCCACGAGGTGCTGGTGGACTCCTGGCCCAATTTCGGCATTGTCCTGACCCGCCTGTGCCCAGAGGTGCCGCCCCAGCTGCCCCTGCCCTGGCAGCAGCACCCCACACCCCAAGGACCTGGGAATTGGGGTGCCACCCTCAGCTCCATGTCCCTCCCAGGACCACAGGGACCCCAGGGACTACTACACCAACCAGCTGTCTGTGTTCTACCGGGACAAGGGAGCCCTGCAGGCACTGCTGGAGGGCACCGAGGCGGTGACCCGGGAAAGAGCCTTCCAGATGCTGGGTAAGGATGGCACTGGGGGGACACAGGGCGCCTCTACCCTCCATCTGGGTCCCTTGTCTGGCTGACAGGGTGTCCCAGGGATGCAGGATGGGCTGGATGAGGCCGTGCAGGAGGTGGCCAGTGCCAGGGGACTGAAGGTGGAGACGATCCGGTACCGGGCGCTGATGAGCCCCGAGCCCCCCCAGCCACGCAGGCAGTGAGTGAGGGGCACTGGGGGGACATGGGACACTGGGGGCACATGGGCACTGAGGGACCAGTCACATCCTGGGCGGCACACGGAGACCTGTCACATTTCTTTGTAGCACTGGGGGGTTGTAGTCACCTCCCTTGGTGGCACAGGAGTCCCCAGGCACATACATCCCTGAGAGGCACAGGGTAACATGAGTGGGTTCACTGAGCACACCCTTGGGTGGCACAGGGGTCCCTGAGCACTTGCCTGAGTGGCACAGGGATCACTGGGTGGCATGAGTGGGTTCACTGAGCACACCCCTGGGTGGCACAGGGGTTCCCAATCCCATCCCATCTGCTATCCCAGCTGGTACCAGGGTTCAGCGTTCCCCACTCTGCCACGCCCTGTTGCAGGATGCCCTCGGGCCTGCGCCTGGCACCCGTGTCCCCATCCCACGTCCCTCTGCTCAACGCCACGTGGGCCCTGGGGGGCAATGCCCGCAGCCGGGCGTTCCTGCTGGGGCTGGTGCGGACGCTGCCCTCCGCCTGCCTGCTGGACCGGCGCGGCCGCCCGGTGTCCTGGAGCCTGCTGGACGGGCAGGGCTGCCTGCGCCACGGCTACACGGTGCCCGCCTGGCGCGGGCACGGCCTCACCGGGCTGCCGCTGGCCGAGCTGGGCCGGCAGCTGCACGCCCGCGGCTTCCCCATCTACTGCGCCGTGCTGCCCCAAAACGCGGCCTCGCTGCACGCCCTGCAAGCCGTCGGCTTCGTGCCCCAGCCCGGAACATTCTGCATGATCCTGGGCACCCCAAAGTAGTGCCCGGGGAGGAGTGCCAAGGTGGGGGGTGCCTGTCCTCCCCCTGGGCCCAGGGCGGCCTGGATCCCCACCCTGTGAGAGAGCGGAACACCGCAGCTCCCACACTGAGCTCGGCTTGGAACCGTTCACTCTGATCCCTGCTGATGGCACTGATGGGAACATCCCAAATTCCTCCCGGTCCCCACCGGGCTGCGGCACGGGCGGGGCAGGGGGCTGGAGAAAGGCTTTTATTCGTTCATACAAGAATAGATCTTCTGCAATAAATACCCCAATAAATAAACATCTCCAATAAATAAACACTCATAGACGCACCGGGACAGCGGCCGCGCCCCGTGGCCTCGCCCCAACATCGATGGGCACCCATGGGGGAGGCGGGGCTTGGGGAGGGGGCGGGGCCTGATGCAGGGAGGAGGCGGGGCTTGCTACACAGGCGAGTGGGCGGGGTTTATTGCCGTCTGGGGCGGAGCCTATTGCTCCGGGGGCGGGGCTTGCTGCTGGCTGGGGCGGGGCTTATTCCTATGCTCAGAGGGCGTTGGTCCTTTTTGGGATGGGCCACTGGAGATTTTAGGGATGGGGACAGGCACCTTGGGGGTTGGGAACACCATGGAGGGGCGCTTAGGAGTCAGGACACCTGTCCCTTAAGATACAGTATAGTGACAGAGGAGCTGTGGGGTGACTGTGGTGGCACTTTGGGGTGAGGAACTCCACCCCTTAAGGCACAGCTGGGTGATGATAAGGATGGGGTGTGGTTTTGGCAGCACTCCGGGGTTAGGAGACACAGTTTTGAAGGGACACTGGTGGCAAAGAGAGGACATGGAGTGGCTTTGGTGACACTTGGGGTCAGGAGACGCATCCCTTACAGCAGAGTGTGGTGACAGAGGGGACGTGAGGTGGCTGTGGTAGGTGGCACCTGGGATCAGGAGCCCCTCACTTAAGGCACAGTGATGAAAGTGGGATTGTGAGGTGGCTGTGGTGGCACTTGGGAGTCAGGAACCCTATTTCTTGAAGTACACTGGTGGGGGACAGGGAACACGGGGTGGCCGTGGTGGCACTCGGGGTCAGGAGCCCTGTTCCTTAAGGCACAGTGTGATGATGACGGAGGGGCTGCAGGGTGGCCGTGGTGACACGTGATGTCAGGAGCCCCATCCTTCAAGGCACTGCCAGGTGATGATGAGGTTGTGGGGTGGTTTGGGGGTCAGGAGCCCCATTTCTCAAGGCACGCTGCTGGTGGAAGAGAGGACCTGCGTGGCCGTGGTGGCACCCAGCAGGTGCTCAGAACCCCCTCGCCTCCAGCCGCAGGGTGACCACGGCGGGCGGCACCTTCTTCTTGAGGCGGTTGAAGTCCTTGGCCGAGCGCCAGAGCCAGGTCTGCAGCTCCTTCAGCAGCCAGAAATCATCCATCTTCTTCAGGAAGTCATTGGGGGCCGCGGGCGCGCCGGGGGGCGCGGGGGGCCCGGCGGGGCCGGCGGGCAGCGGGTATCCCAGCGAGGACATGACGCCGCCGATGCTGAGCACCAGCCCCTGGAGGCTGGCGCAGAAGTGGGCGAGGCGGTGGCGCAGCTCGGCCGTGCCCACCTGCCCGTCCAGCACGCGCAGGTAGCAGAGCAGCCGGCTGTAGGCCCGGTAGTTGGCGGCCAGGCGCGCGTTGTCCGTCAGGCCCCGCCACAGGTCCAGGTCCACGGTGGCGCTGGGCACCCGCTCGGCGCGAGCCAGCCGCGGGGGGTTGAAGTCGGGCTCATTGAAGGGGGGGCCCAGGTAGTTCAGCTGGAAGGGAACGGGGGTGCCAGGGGTCAGGTCTCAGTGTCCACCCTGTCCCCAGCCTCCGCGTCCCCCACGCCCCCCGGTTCGGACACGTCCCGCTCATCCCAGCTCTCCCTTCTCTTGTCGCATCCCCCCCTCGGGCTCTGCCCGGGCCGGACATTCCAGCGCAGCCCGGGCAGTGCCACCGTCACGGCTTGGCACCGAACGTGCCGGCACCGCCGAGGGCACGTCAGGGCAGGGACGGGGAACCTCCGGGTGAGTCGGCGACGCCGGCGGGGAGGGAGAGGCGGATGCCCGCGCCCATGACGGAATCACGGGCCGAGGGGAGGGTGCCCGGGAGCCGCCCTGCGCCCGGGGGCGATGAGGCATTTCCGTGACCTCCGGCGTGGGAGCGGCTGGGCACGGGGTGGATGTCCCGGGGGGTGCGTCGGGGACTCACGTAGGTGCCGGCGAGGGTGCGGAGCTGGTGCTCCAGGTAGCGGGTCAGGTCGTACGTCTGCTGGATGGACTGGCCGGCGCCCAGCTCCTCGGAGCAGTTCAGCGCCGGCAGCGCCGGCAGGTTGCAAAGCGCGGCGCACAGGAAGGTGAAGATCCCCCAAGAGTCACCTGTGGGGGACACACAGCGCCTCAGGGGGGGTGACAGGGACACTCCGTCTCCGTGTGTGCGGCGCTGAGCCTGCAGACTATCCCTGAGTCACCCGTCTGAGCGCGGGGAAAGTGAGGCACGGAGGTGGGGAGGGTGGGGTCCCCCTCACCTCAGCACTCCCCCGGGAGCAGCAGGGATCCCCCACCTCAGCGCGCTGACCCCCCGGCTCCCCTCGGAGCGCTCCCGCCCGCGGCTGCACCAACAATCCTTTATATGGTCTGGAGCAGCGCGCCCGCGGCATTCCCGCCGGGACACACGCCTGGGATATATTTGGGCACCGTCAACGCCGCAGCGGCCCGGGCACCCAGCGGGGACCCCCGCCACCGGGAATATGCGGGGGGGAAGCGGCTCCGAGGAGCGGCCGGGGCGCGGGGTGACCTTTGCGGAGCCACCGGAAAGCGGCGGCGGGGTCCCCGTCATCATCCCGGCCTGACGTCAGGGCGGCCCGGGAGCGCGGCCCCGCCGGCCGGCGGCTCCGCAAAGGTCACGGCCCGCGGCCAGGACACTCCGGCCAGCTGGCACCCCCGGCTCGCCACAGCCGGCCTTCCCGGCAGCGCCTCCCGGGAAAGACCGGCCGCTGGCACGGCTCGGCACGGCGGGGCTCCTGCTGCGGGCAGCCCCCCGCGCCCCCGCGCGTCACCGCTCCCCGTCACCGGCCGCCCGTGACGCACGACGGTCCTCGGGGACACCCCGGCTCCGGCCACAAGGGCCTCCCCGCCGCGGGTGTCCTGCAAACTGCAAGCCTCGCTGTGGGGGTGCAAGTGCCCTGTGGGTGTGCAGGACACCGTCACACCTGGGATACACCCCGGAGGTGTGCAGGACACTTGTGACACCGCTGGGATACGTCCAGGGAACACCTGGGATGCACCTTGTGTGTGAGCATCACACAGGAGTGTGGGGAACACCGCACTTTCCAGGCGTGTGACACCGTGCACGTGTGACACCGTGCACACGTGTGATGCACCACACGCATGAGACACCATCCAGGTGTGTCACCTACCACACGGGCACATGGCACGTGTGGCACTCACAGGACATGCCAGGCAAGTGTGCAACGTGCCGTGCACATTCCCCATCGGGGGGGACACTCCGTTACATGCCACCCACGTGTGACACGCCGTGCACACACCACACCACGCTGTGACACCCCGTGCGACGCCCCCGTGTCCCCCGTGCGTGGCAGCCCTGGCCGGCCCCGGCTCGCCCGGTGCCCCGCGGTGGGCACGTGCCGCCGCTTGCCCGCGTTCCGGTGCGTTCCGGCGCGGAGCGTGCGGCCGGCCCCGCGTGCGTGCGAGCGTGGGCCGGGGGGGGCCGGCGGGGGGGCCGCGGTGACTCACTGCACACACAACCCCCCCTCCCGGTGTTTGCTTTGGCCGGACCCTCGCCCGCCGCCGGCTCCGGTTTCCAGGCGGGATTTACACCCGCCCCGGCCTGGCCGGTGCCAAACCAAACACAGCCGGGGAGCGGGATGAGGGGGGATGGCAGGGATGGGAGATTGGGATGGAGCCACGGTGGATCCTGGGCAGGTGGCCCGGACACGAGGATGAGGATGATGGAGGAAGGGGATGGAGGTGGGTGTCTGCGGGATGGGAATGGTGGGATGCACAGAATGGATGGCGCTGGGCAGTAGTGACCACGACACAGTGACAATGGTGACCCTGGCACAGCAGTGACAGTGACTGGGGCAGAGCACCGATGGTAACCGTGACACACATGACACAGCAGTGACAGTGACTGAGGCACAGCAAAGACAGTGGCCATGACACAGCAGTGACAGTGACACTGCACAGTAATGAGGGTGCCCGTGACACAGCAGTGACAGTGACTGGGGCACAGCAGAGACAGTGGCCATGACACAGCAGTGACCGAGACCGTGGCACAGTAGTCATGACGACAGTGGCACAGCAGTGACTGTGACTATGGCACAGCAGTGACAATGGCCCAGCCACAGCGGGTGCCCCCGCTGTCCCCTGCCCACCCCTGTCCCAGCGGCTGGCGCCGGGCACCCACCGGCACAGACAGTGGAGGAGGGAGGCTCCAGCCGGCACAGCTGGATCCCGGTGACGTCGGAGAGGAAGAGCCCGAGGGTTTCAAAACCGGCCCTGGAGCTCGGCCAGGATGCTCCCAGCCCACGTAAGCAGCTCATGGCGTGCCTGCCCGGGGTCACCCGCTGGGCCCTGGGGACACCCGAGGAGCCGGGGTGACGGGGGGCCACGGGAGCGGGCACCCCCTGCTCTGCTGGCAGCTCCTTGGGGCACCCACGCCGGACACACCGGTGGTGCCACGGACACCCAACGCACACGTGGCAGCGGGGACGTGGCTCACCCACCTTTGGGGTGACACCCGGGACCCTTGGCCTGCCACCCGCCCGGCAGTGCAGGCGGCAGTGCTGGCCAGACCTCCCGGCCAGCGGCCGAGGCAGGAATTCGGCCACGGAGACGGTGAGCTGTTCCCTGGGCATGCTGTGGGCAGAGCCGCCGAGGGCTGAGCGACCGCAGCCCGCCCGGAGCCGCTTTCCCGAAACCCTGGTGGCGGGGGCGGCAGCCGGGAAGGGGAGACCCCCTGGCCCCGGAGCCCCCGGCAGAGGACGGAG